GTTGTTACACGAAATTTACTTAGTCTCAATTTCTTAAATGTATAACAAAATTCGGAATTTTCAAAATGCTAAGGCTCGATCAATTTTCAGTTTAAGAAAAAACCAGCCAATAAGTTTTGAAGCTTGAGTCATGAAAAATAAAACTTATCGGTTAAATTTTTTAAAATGATATAATTTTTTTTTGTTTTAGTATTTTGAAATTGACCAATTGTTACTATAAGCAATTAATGATTATAGATGATCTGCACCGTAGTCCTAAAACTTTCTGCGCCACAACGACAATGTTTCCCAATCATAAAAATCGTTGGTCATGTGATATTTCCTAGTCATTCCATAAATAGTAAAATCGGCAATAGAAATGAAATAGGTGGGAGCAAGTATATGATTTTGCATATTTCTTTGATTAACGCAATAGTCTATTTTATTAAATTTGAAATAAATGAACTTGACTGCTTGTATTTTTATATAAAGAATAAATTCTCTTTCCATTCATCTGGAAATTCATGCGATAAAAGATCTGTAAAAAATTAAAAATTTTTGTTTTTGTTTCAATTCGTTTATTTTTGATATTAACTTTTTTGCATGTAACGCGCTAATTTTAGGGCTGAACATAGTAAATTGATAAATTTGTGCAAATTTGAGGCACGAATCCTCTGACATATCAACAAAATGAAATCGTAACTTGTAGAGAAAGGTCTTGGCTTCGAAACATGATTTATTTTTGATGTTGCATTTCCATTTTTGGAGGATTTGAAGGATATATGTGACCAATCAAAAGTTGTGGAACTACACTATACAACATCGAACTTTAACTTGACTATGACTCTCATTACACTGAACTCATTTAAAATATTTCAACGTAGTTCAATGGCTTTTAATTAGCATAATTAATTTACATTGTTATTGTTTTTCTTCAAAAGTTACATGAAAATTTAACTCGTCAATTTTAAGAAAACCAATTATTTTGCATGCATTACTGTGACACTCACTGTACTCAAAGTAATTCGGTAAGTAGCGAAGTAAATTCAGGAATAGACTTTTTTTTGGATTAGGTAGATTGTACAAATAATAAGTAATGGTTATTCCACGGCTCCAAGGACAATGATCCTCAACATTAAGCAGAAAGTATATATCAAAAGCAGAAATGTGAAGAATTATATTTAAATTGGTTAATTGCTGGTATACCTTTCTATTTTTGTAGCAGATATTTCACGCATATGCCAAGTGTAACATAATCTATTATAAATCACGTGAAGAAGAAAAAATTTGAATTCGCGCGACTTATCTATCTTATACTGCTAAAAAAAATTTATCAATATTTCGTTTCTACATGTATTTCATTAAATTTGTTCACAATGCCTGAATCTGTTGGTTCTATGGAAATATGTTAGGGTTTCTATTTGAATAAAACTAATAATATGGCTGATAGTGATAGTACACAGTGAGTCTCGGTATAACGGATAATTTGGGCAATTAGAACAAAAATTTCAAAAATCTGTTATACCGAGATTAATTCAAGATTTAATTAGTAAATCCATTAAACCGAGAGAATTTACTTATAGGCGGTTCTGAGCTTTTATCCGTTAAACCGAGAGTTTTATTAAACATCCGCTATACCGAGATTCACTGTGTATATGCACATTGCTAATTCAATACAATTAAAACTTATCAGTTCTATTTCCCCTTCGCAGTCCTTGTAACAATAATAATAATAATAGCAGTAGCAAAAGCAATTTGACATCTTTTCTTTAGTAATTAATAATGATAGTTGTAGTAATTGGTTTTTCCCCTTGTAGTGATAATAATAATAATAATAGTGGTAGATGTATTTTTGTATTTCATTAAATTTGTTCACAATGCCTGAATCTGTTGGTTCTATGGAAATATGTTAGGGTTTCTATTTGAATAAAACTAATAATATGGCTGATAGTGATAGTACACAGTGAGTCTCGGTATAACGGATAATTTGGGCAATTAGAACAAAAATTTCAAAAATCTGTTATACCGAGATTAATTCAAGATTTAATTAGTAAATCCATTAAACCGAGAGAATTTACTTATAGGCGGTTCTGAGCTTTTATCCGTTAAACCGAGAGTTTTATTAAACATCCGCTATACCGAGATTCACTGTGTATATGCACATTGCTAATTCAATACAATTAAAACTTATCAGTTCTATTTCCCCTTCGCAGTCCTTGTAACAATAATAATAATAATAGCAGTAGCAAAAGCAATTTGACATCTTTTCTTTAGTAATTAATAATGATAGTTGTAGTAATTGGTTTTTCCCCTTGTAGTGATAATAATAATAATAATAGTGGTAGATGTATTTTTTTTTCCTACCAGCAATTCAAATAAGAATTATTTTTATTTTTTCATTATATATTTTAATTGACTCTTAGATATTTTCGATTAAATAAATATAATGAGATTTTATAGCAGGGATTTTAGTTTTTTTGCTGCAGAAATTAATCGTCCCTACACGGAATAACTAATTGGTTTTAACTTTGATAGACTTTTGATAATTATTTTTTATTGAAATATTATTAATAAAGGATGGTTACCTTGGGTGAAAGTTGAGTCCAGAAAATTTTAATTATGAAAACTTTGCAGATATTTCACGGAAAACATAAAATAGAACATGAGATGACAGGGGAAATTTTTTTATATTGTCGAGTCGTCAAAGAGTAATAATAATGATGATGATGACAATGGAAGGTAGTGGAGGTGATAATAACAATAACAATAATAACGGTAAGTAGTAAATATATGTTTGTTATTTTAAAAGGCTAATATACAAAAAATAGTAATATATAACATAAAAATTTCTTATAATAATTAGATGACGATAATGATGATGATAAATAATTTTATTATTATTATTATTATTTAGTAAACCTTGAATCACCAGATTATGTTAATCAAGTGCTTAGATCCACAACAAAGAACCAAACTGTTTCTTCTACAAAAATGAACAATAATTCCTCAAGGAGTCACAGCATATTTATGATTCATATCAAAGGCTCTAATTCTGTTACAAATGAGAAACAATCAGGTTCCTTGAACCTTATTGACCTGGGAGGTTCAGAGAAAATATCAGCTTATGAATTGACTGGAGATCTTCAAGCTGAAACAATAAATATTAACAAGAGTCTCAGCAGTCTAAAAACAGTTATACAAAACATAAAGGAAAATGCAAGTCATATCAATTACCGTGATTCCACCTTGACCTATGTTTTGAAGAATTCATTAGGTAAACCATTATTGTTATGTTGTACATGTATTTTTTTTAAACTCATTTTTATTTATATCAATAATAATAATATATACGTGGTATGGCTGAAAAGTAATGAGAATCATTGTATTACTCAATAATATGTGGGTATACCTAAACAAAGTT